AGGGTCTTGCAAATGTCTGCTCTAGTCTCTGTTCCACTATAATCTAGATTGGGGTGAGTTTAGATTGGGGCTGGGGGCAGTCACAAGATCACAGTCCTACCCATATCAGGCAGGTAAGTGAACCTAGGGAGATGAGTATAAACACGTGGGCCTCTCTGTTGCTTGTTTTCAAACTATTGATAGAGATTTGGGTTCAGTAAATATTTCGTTCTCCTCTTAATTTTCCAAAAGTTAAACAAAAGGTAAAGAAAAAGCCCCAAAATGATGATAAATGGCATTACCACTTCACCTTAGCACCCAGAGTCACATGCAGTAGGGGGGATATTGGTGGATCAGTGAATTTTCTCATCTCTGGGGCCAGCTGCTCTTGCTCAGCTCCAGCCAGGTGACTGTTGCCCTGCTGGAAAATGGGCCACTATAGCTAGATCTTAAGATTTTTCCAAAGTTGTTGAAAATTAGGATGATTATGATATGAAATCTCCTGATTCATAATCGTTGGTTTAAAAGTATTGCACAGGCCAAATAAAACATCTGCCGCCACTTTGGGCCCACAGGCTGTTGGTTCTGAGCCTCTAGTCTGACCCTTCCTGTACTTGTCTAGACTACTGCATTAGTGCTGGGCATCCTGCCCTCTGCTGCAGCCTCCCCACTGCCCCTGTTTTTTCTCCCCAAATTGCAGACCTCATCACCCAAGAGCACTCTCTGAAGAGATCTTCGTTATTTTCAGAACAACATACACATTCCTTACTTTTACCTTTAAGGTCCTTCGCAGTCTGACTCAGCCCCTCTGTCCAGCTGTGCCTCCCAACATCCCGTGAACACCTCGGCTGTGCTTGTCACACAGGGCCACTCACTCTCAAGCAGTCCCAGTGTTCTTTAAAGTTAATCAATTATTTTTTTAGAACAATTTTAGATTTATAGGAAAATTGATCTTGTAGTACAGAGAGTTCTCATGTACTACTCTCCCCGACCCCTCCCCTCAGTTTTCTCCTACTATGAATATCTTGTTTTATGTGATACAGTTGCTACAATTAATGAACCAATATTGACACATTATTATTAACTGAAGTCCATGGTTTAAATTAAGATTTGCTCTTTTTGTTGGCAATACCAATATTTTAATACCCTTTATATTTTTTTAAATTCATTCTTCCATTTGCATAATCCTCCTTCAATTCCAGCAAGAAATTTTTTTCAAGGCCAAATATATTGTCAGTCTTTCTGCAAAGCCTTCTCTAACTGCTTATTTTTGGAATGGAACTAGAAGGGAGAGAACAGACAAAATACAGACAAGAACCAACATTTTTTTAACAGATGCCTAGTGTATATCAAGTAGTTTATATATACTTTAAATCTCTTGCGGCTCGGTGCCTGTGGCTCAAGTGGCTAAGGCGCCAACCACATACACCTAGGGTGGCGGGTTCGAATCCAGGCCAGGCCCGCCAAATGACAATGACGGCTGCGACCAAAAAATGGCCAGGCGTTGTGGCGGGCACCAGCTCCTTGGGAGGCTGAGGCAAGAGACTCGCTTGAGCCCAGAAGTTGGAGGTTGCTGTGAGCTGTGATGACATGGTACTCCACCCAGGGGGATAGCTTGAGGCTCTGTCTCCAAAAAAAAAAAATCTCTTTGCAGTCCTCCAACATAGATAATATAGGGCATTTACCAAGGGGGGAAATACATTGAGTTGCCCAAAGCCCCACTGCTGGTAATTAGTTTACACCCATGTCTGTCCATCTCCAAAGTGTGCTCTTCTACTCTCTCCCACATGGCTGCATTCTTACCACTAATCTAGCCTTCCTGCTTCCTCCATCAGACTAGGAATCCTCTGCAGTGAGGGGTGCAGTGTTACTCAGCTCTGTCTCCACTGTGAAGACACAAGTTGGTACCTACTGCAACTCACTGAACCCAGGTGAATGTGTCCTAAAGGAGTGAATGTAAGAAGAAGCACCAAATATGCACATCAGTTCTGAAGCTTGTGGGGTTCCACTTCGTGTTGGGTGAAGTCAAGCATTAAAGGGAAAGTGATGGTAGTGCTACTACACAGGTTATAAATCACAACCAGGCAGGCTCAGGGAAGCTGTTGATTTCCCATTTATCCATGACTAGATTGTAAGCTGCAGGAGAGCAAGGATTATTTGGGCTCTGCTACTGCCCCTAGGTAAGCATCTGGTAATAAAAGTTATTTAATAAGCATCTGCTATGTGAATGTTTGAATCTTACTACAAATTTGGGACACATAAAATAACACTATACTTCTCAGAGTTTTCATTTGTGTTCAGTTAATCATCCTCCTGGTTCTGGCAGCTTTGGTTTCTATGTACAGGCCTATGTTACAGGCTGTTTAGTACAGGCCTGTGTTACAGGCTGTTTCCAAATTATCCCAGGCCTGGGCCTGACCACTTTCTCAGAAGTTCTTTTGGACCAGAGCTTTAGGAAAGGGCGGAAGGAGGAGAAGTTGCCTTGTGTGTGCCATCCTTTAAGAGTTGCTGGAGAAATGACCCTTCTTGGTAGCTAGCAGGAGTTCTTGGGCCTGACCTTGGATCTCAGTTCCAGAAGGCCTGGCATTAGGTCTGGACCTCATACCAAAAGATGACCTCATTTTTTTTTAACCTGACATTCAAAATGTCACTTGAGAGTAGTTGTGTATTCAGATATTTTCATTAATTATATATAGAAAAATGTTATCTAAAAAACAACGTATTTCATCTATTTGCTTACTAAACTTCTCTCACTCTCCCCTTCTTGTCTTCTCTTCTTTTCTTTTCCTGCCAAATGTTTCCTTGACTTCTCTGACCCTGTCTTTCATTTGTATTGCTGTTTCTTCAATATGCTTATTTCCACCAGTGTTCTTCTAAGTGTACCCCTGTCTCCATTCATTCCATGTAAATCACTCTCCATTCCTGGTGAATAACCAGGATCACAATGGTTGTCAGGTTTGTGCCCAAGGTGACAGAATTGATGGACCCGTAGGCTGATTTTCATAAACCAGAGCTACCAAGCGTTTCAAAAACAGTGTTGTTTTTGCCAAAGAAGGTGAGCAAATATAGGACTAAGTTTAAACATCCATCAAGAGTTATTTTTGAAGTGATTGCTTCTAAATGAGAAGCATTTGAAAATCTCACAGTTTTCTTTACAAATAAATTCCAAAGTCATGTATTTTGCTGGTGTCTGCTGATTAATTACAATCCTGTGACACCATGAAAAACCCTGATGGTTGGTTTTGTGCAGCTGGGGAGAAAAGTAAAGCAAGGCCTAGTGACTTTGCCAACTCTTTCAGGATAGTGGGGATTCAGGCTGAGGGAAGTATTTGTTCTCTCTGACAGTCACCACATAAGAACAGAAGCCCCAGCCAGACCCATTTCTCCAGACTCTACGAGTGGTTTCAGTCCCTGGGGGGTGTGTGGTAAAGGAGTGACATTTCATCTGTTGCTTCTGAAATTACAGATGCATTATGATAAAAAACATTTTTAGTCTCCACATCAAGACTCATGTGCATCCTCCTATACACTTACTTCTGTTTAGAAAAAAAATAGTGGTTACATCCAGCAAAGTAATCAAAATTTATTTTGATTCTCTAAGCAGAAGGTGCTTGGCATGTATTCGTTGTTGGTAATTGCAGATGTCCGAACGGGTAAAATCTGCCAGTTCATCCATTTAGGGTCTGATGACACTGGATCGATTTTATCTGGCCTTTTAATTTTCTCATTATCTCTTTTCATATCTAACTCCAATTATTTCACTGCTGTAAGCTTCTCATTGACAGGACAAAAAGAGAAGAAGTGGTTGAATCTGGTTGCTTAGAGAGAATCATCTGCAGCTCTAGTAAAAGATATAGTAGGGAAAGAAAACAAATACAGCAGAACCTCCATAGTCGAACCACCTCCTTAAATTGACCACTTCTTTAAGTTGACCTAATTTTCATAGACTGGATATATATCACATGTATTCAGTGGAAGTTCCTTAATGCTGACCACCTCCATATGTTGACCAGTTTGTTACAGTATTGGGTGGGTCAACTTCCAGGGGTTCTACTGTATTGTTAAATAGACTTTCAAGAGTCTCTGTACTTTTATCTGTCCTTACTTTGCTCCACTTTCCTCTTCCCCTTGGTTTGGAGGGGGCCCATGACTGTAGGACTCGGCTGACAAACATCTTTCTTCTTGGCACTAGCTAAGGTCAGGGATCTCAACTATATCGTCATTCTCTTTCTTTCTTTGTGGCTGGTCTGTACTCACAGAAGCCTTGTGAATGTCATTGCTGAGTCTGAATCCAACACACACACACTTGCACACAGCCTGTGTCACTTGTCTGCTAGAACTGTAGCCTTTATCCTAAATATAGGCAGCTAGAGGGAGACCAGGATCTGTCTTTCTCTGTTTAATTCTAGTACTGCACTTAATTCTATTATATACTGCCGTGTGAGAAAACAGGGCATTGCTCCTTTACTCCTGACATGCAGGGGAAGATCTGCCCAAAAATCTCACTAGTTACAAACATCACTACCCAATATTTGCAAAGGCAAGGATTAGTTTAGCCTGCTTTTTTAGCCAGCACTGTTCTGATGACACCAGACATGTAAGCCAGTTTAGACTCTCAAGACAATTTATTTTTCCTATGGTAAGACTTTGGCTGTAAAAGGCACAGTTTATTTTCACATGAGACTGCAAACGTAAAGATGTTTGCATTTCTTTGCTGAAATCAATTTATAGATAATTTGCATCTAATAAGCTCTTATAGCAAATAATTGTTTGGTCACAATTGTCATCCCCGATTTGTGTAAGAAACCCAGAGCACAGGGATGGATTAAGTATGGAGGTTTCTCACCACCGCTGCATCCTCCAAAACCGACATGCTTTTCTGCAGAGAGACCAGAACCACGTTTTGCAGGTGTCTGTTTTCTTTGAGGGGAATTTTGAGGAAACCTAAAAGGAAGGAACTGAGCATTTAGGAAAAATGTATTTTCACACCAGAATATTGTTTTTTCTCTTTTTTGGTTTAGGTTTTCCATTTGTTACAAGCTTACTCAGACTCCAAACACAGAACGAATTCAGACTTTCAGCACGAGCTGGCTGACATCACTGTTTGTACCAAAGCCAAACTCTGGCTGGCCAAGAGGTATGTTAAAACCCCACACACGGGCAAGGAGTTATCAGGGGTTACGAATACATTGGAGAATTGCTGTTTCTAGTTGCAGGCAGTTTTAAAAGACATTGGCATGAGTTTCCTAAACTTATTGGAGTATTTATCCTTTTAGAACTTTGGGTTGTGGTAAAGAAAGAAAAATATTTTTTCGACAATTTTTCTGAAACTGCTGAGTGACTGAAGGGCAGGCACACAATACAGCTTTTTATCTGCCCACCAATCCGCTTGTTTTTATTAATACCTGCTATGTGCGCAGTTCTGCGTTAGATAATATAACAGTGAAAGGCAGTAAGTGACTAATCCATGAGGTACAAACCTCAGGTGCTATCGCAGCTCAGAGATTAGAGGTTGGTAAGCCCAAAGCAGACACTGAGGGGCAGGCAGGGTGCCAACAGGAAGAGGGGTGGAAGTTGCCATTCTCAGGAGGCTAGTAAGGCAGAGTGAATCAGGAAGGCAAAGAAGGATGGAAACATTTACTTTTTCATCCTTGCCCTGGTTGATTTCTTCTGGAACTTAGATCATTTACTATATGAGAGATGGGCTACAAAGACTTTCTCAGTTAATATACAGGGAGTCTTCTTTGTAAGACTATGTTTAAAATCTGTGAGATGGGACTTTGATAGCAGTTGGACAGGGCCCCTGTTTGTCCTCTGTAGGTTCCAGCAGAGTAAGTTTAGAAGAGGACCTACTACTACATTCCACACTATAGTACACATTCAGTATATTAGGCTCGGCACCTGTGGTTCAAGTGGCTAAGGCGCCAGCCTCATACACCTGAGCTGGTGGGTTTGAATCCAGCCCGGGCCAGCCAAACAACAATGACAGCTACAACCAAAAAATAGCTGGGTGTTGTGGCGAGCACCTGTGGTCCCAGCTACTTGGGAGGCAGAGGCAGGAGAATTGCTTGCGCCCAGGAGTTGGAGGTTGCTATGAGCTGTGATGCTACAGCACTCTAACCAGGGTGATAACTTGAGGCTCTGTTTCAGAAGAATAAAAAAGAGTCAGTATATTGGTTGTCTAATGTAAAGTCTCTCTTTTTTATTTTTTTAAAAAATGTGCTCTTCCCACCTCATATGACAAGTAAAGTAATGGGCAGTGTGAAGTTTCAAATCATTTTAACTCAACAACATAACATTGAGCCTAGGTTACATGCAAGCCTTTGTGTTAAGAGTGGGGATGCAAAGATATGGAAGAACTAGTCCTGGCTTCAAAGACTTCCAGGAGGTGAGAAATATATGTAAATAAATAATTTTCATTCAGCACATCAAGTGTTATAATAAATGTATGCAGCAGGTACAGGAGTGAGGAGCCTAGATGAGGGTCAGGGAGAGCTAACATTGAACCTGGCCATGAAGAGATGAGTAGAACTTTGCCAAGTGGCCAAGACAGGAAGGGAATTCCAGGCTTAGGCAGTAGTGCAAGCAGAGATGTAGCAATATGAAATGGTATGGGAGGTTTGGAGAACTATAAGGAAATCAGTTTACTAAGTGTAGGGTATAAGTGTTTTAACACAATAACTAAGAAAATGTGGTGAAGGCTATGTTTGATGAAAATATCTCAAATGGTTTATAAAACCAGCACATTGTACCCCATGATTGCATTAATGTACACAGCTGTGATTTAATTAAAAAAAGAAAGAAAGAAAGTCAACATTTACGGAACCTAAAGTGTAAGGCAGAGAAGAGGCCACACAGTGACAGCACCACTGACAGCAGAGTCAGTGGTGGATTTCCTAATGTATGGATATGTGTGTCTTGATTATCTCAGCACTCGTGTCTTTGGACAGGGATACTTATGGAAAAATTCCTTAGTATCTGAAATGCCAATAAAGTTAAGTTGGAGCTCTCTCTCACTCCCCCCCCCTTTTTTTTTTGAGATAGAGTGTCACTCTGTTGCCCAGGCTAGAGTGCCATGGTGTCAGCCTAGCTCATAGCAACCTTTGGGTTCATGTGATCCTCCTGCTTTAGCCTCCTGAGAAACTAGGACTACAGGTGCCTGCCACAATGCCCTGCTAATTTTTTTCTATTTTTAGTAGAGATGGAGGCTCCCTTTTGCTCAGGCTGGTTTTAAACTCTTAAGCTCAAGGGATCCTCCCACCTCAGCCTTCCAAAATGCTAGGATTACAGTCTGAGCCACTCCACCCACTGGAACTCTCATTTTATATCTGATTTTTGTTTTCTGCATTTTATTTAGAAAGTAGGAGTTGCTTACTTATAAACTATTTCCCTAAGCTTATACTATTTGCCTTCTGTGTGGCTCTTAGCCTCCTGAAGACAACATTTTTCTCAGTGGTTTTTTCAGCCCTAGAAAACAAAGGCATGAATCACTTCAATTACTGGGTTTCCACCTTCCTTGCCTAGAGTCCAGGAAAGCCACTTTTCTGTTTCCAGTACAGTCAACTCTATTATCCAAGTGTGAACTTTCCACGTCGTGGGTGGTGTGTAGATGGTTTCTAATAGTAGGCTTCCTTTTGCTCCCCAACGCACTTTGCAAGTATTAATCAAGATGTGTTCAGAGCCTGGAATAGAGTTTGGAAGGAAAACATACTGCCAAAGCACAGTACATTCCAAAGTTATGTATCAGTTTTTCTGTATTATCCGTATCATTGACAGGATAACCTTGAGGTTCCTGAATAGGAAAATGTAGATTTCTGCGTTAAGTGGTGAAGCCTCAGCCCGCCATGTGTCTGCCCTGTCCCTGAGGTCCTCTTGCTCTGGGGGATGTTTGTCTACATTAGTTAACTCCATGCTCAAATGAAGCTCCTTTGGATCCTAAGGGTCTCTTCTCAAAGCAGACCCTGCCTTTACTCTTGGTATCCCATGAGGATGTTACAATGCGGAGGGTTCCACATTCAGCTGTTGAAGAGGCTCCTTTATGTCCTGAGTAATTTATGCATGAGAGAGGAATAATGTTCCTTTGAGCCTACTAAAAATTTTCTGTGTCTTTCAAGTATAAGCTATGAAAAATTAATATTAACACAAAAAAAAAGTTGGCTTAAGTTTTAGCACCAACACCTTTCTCTTTCCATAATTTATTTGATCATTAGCCTGAGTTCATTCTATCCAGTAAGTATAAAAATATTAGGGGATGTGTCATTTATTTGTCCTTTTGTTCCAAAAGAAGGTTTTAAAAAAAAAAGCATTGCAGCCATTGGATAACCAATTCAGGTTTAAAATTTTGACCCTAAAACTGAGGGTACATAATGTGAAGACTTTTGTCATATATTTGTGTTTTAACTTTGCAAGACTAATAGGGATTTATATGGGGTGATTAAGCAATAGCCATGGAGTTGTTGGGGAATTTTTGGTGATGAATAGTTAGCTGGCAGCACAGCCTGAGTGGAGGACTGGGCTTCAGCTCTTACAGGCTGCTTTTCATTCCAAGATGTCAAAACCTTCTGGAAATCAGCTCATTAATCCTTCAAGTCCCTTCCTTCCCCATTCCTTCCTCCTTGATCCAATTCACTGTCTCTCTCATGATGCTAAGGCAGTTTACCAACCACTGAAGGAAAATGAAGCTGACCAGGCCAGAAACAGAGTAAGAATAGGAGTCTACCACTGGCCTAGAAAGGCTGGCCATGGGCACAGTGAAAGAGGATTTGGGCAGTCCCTGATCACTGCCCAGTCTGCCACCCTTGCTATTTGCAGATTCTAGCTCTGGATTACTTATTTACTGTGGTTGAAAGTTGGAATTACTGTTACATTGGACTTAAACATTTTCAGAAATGAATTCAGTTGTCTCTTTGGTTATAAAAGGGAAAAAAAAGAGTGTATGTGTGTGTGTTTGTGTTCCATTAAACTTAGTGAACTAAATGGGCTATTCAGATTAAGTGGAATGGATGATGTGATGACCAGAAAGAAAAACGTGTCCTACTAAATTATTTCACCTTTTTTCTTGATTATCGTTACAGTATATGCTTCTCATAGAAAATTAGTCAAGTACACAATTTAGAAAATGAGAATAAAGTCTACTCTTACCACAATCCAGTAGAAAACCACTGTTGTTGGTTAACAGTTTTATGTAGTTACTTCATCTTTTTTCCTTTTTTGCTTTTTTTTTATTCTAGCAAAGTTATGTTATGTATATAAGTTGTAGCGTCCCTTTTTCCACTGGATGGTATCATAAAAGCATTTGCTATTATTATTATTAAAAGCTACTCATGGTACAGTTACTGTGGAAAACAATACGGTGTTTCTTCCAAAAAAATTGAAAATGAAATTACTGTATAATCCATCAATTCCAGTTCTGAATACATACCCAAAAGAATTGAAAGCAAAGTCTCAAAGAGATACTTATACAACCATGTATATGGCAGAATTATTCACAATAGTTAAAATGTGGAAACAACTCAAGTATTCTTTGAGGGATGATGAATAGGTAAACAAAATGTGGTATGTACATATGTTGAAATACTATTCAGCCTTTAAAAGAAGAGAAATTTCGACAATTGCGACAACATGAATCTTCAGGAGGTATGCTAAGTAAAATAAGCCAGTTACAAAAGGCAAATACTGTATGATTCTACTTACAGAAGGCAGGTAGAGTAGTCAGATTCATAGAAATAGGAAGGAGAATGGTGGTTCCCAAGAGATAAGGGAAGGAGGGAATGGAGAATTGTTTAATGGGGATAGAGTTTTAGTTTTATGAGAGGAAGAGAGTTCTAGAGATTGGTTCACAGCAGCGTGAATGGCTTAACACCACTGAACTGTACACTGAAAATTGGTTAAGGTGGTAAATTTGATATTATGTATATTTTACCACAAAAAAAAAATTTTAATGAAAAATATTTAAAACAAAAAAATTTCGACCCTATCATTCCTCCAGGGTTATCATTGTCCTGATTTTTTATGATAATTATTTCTATGCTTTTCTTCCTAGTTTTATCCCCTGTGCATCTCTAAAATAGTTTTGCCTATTTTGGATTTAAGAAAAAAAATCTTTGAAAACATCATTTGTTGCAAGTAGCGTATTTT